GTATTTGTACATTCTGATTTTAAAAGTCCCTCATTGTGTGAACCTTTAAAGCCTTTGGCTTCTTACTAGGTACATGGAATGTCATGTAAGATCTTTCTGCTTGCACTAAATGCCTGAGATTTGAGGGGCAGTCTTGCCGAAGCATCTTTTGCTGGCATACCTCCATTTTGTCTTTTGTAACATCTTGCTTGTGTCTTTAGCTGTAGTACCAAATCTAGCCAGAAGATGTCTGTTTTACAGGTTTTCATCTATGCATTGCAGTAAAATCACAGAGCAGCTTAGTTTAAATGAGCTGCTGTCCAGAATGTCAAAACATTAATTTAACTATTTTATTTTTTTAGTTTGCTGGCCTAGACTTGGATTCTGACTCTCAGGGTGGTGGCACTGCAACTAGTAAGTACCTTTTTATTAAATTTGGAAGCTATGAATATTTCACATGTATTTTTTGCTAAGAAACCTTACTTTATTTTTTCTGATCCTAGAAGGCCGTTACATTCCTCCTCACTTGAGAAACAAGGAAGCTTCAAGACAAGGTAAATATATTAGACAAGTCTGAGTCGCTTCTTGGTAATGTTTGTTAGTCATTTCTAGTTGCTGAGATTTGGTATCTTGTCCAAACCATGTTTTTTTTTATGAGCTTCAGACGGCTATTGTCTTCAGTTTACTAATGTTGCTTGATGTAACTCTGGGGATTTATTCTTTTGTTGGGAAGAACAAGCCTTTACTGCACAGTATAACGTGCATTTTCGAAAAGACCACATCTTAAACGTCCTCCCGTCACCCAAAGCACAGTATATACTGTATACTGAGATGCCGGAACGGATCCCGACGTTACTGTCTGGATCCACCCAGCTGCGTGCATGACAGCTGGCTCTGCCTATCTAAAGGCAGAGCCAGCTGTACCTGCCCTCGTCTGTTCTGCCAGTCAGCGCTGGAGGATCAGACGGGGGAGGGGGTGATCCCTGCAGGGAGCCCTGAGTTGCAGGGACATGATTGAGAAGTGAGCGAGCGGTATGTGTTCGCTCACTTCCTGATCTATTGAGCCAAACTGTGACAGTTTCATTGTCACATGTTGGCTAGAACTATGAGGCTGAGTGATTTTTCACTCGCCTCATTCTCTTAAAATAAAGTTGTCACCATCTTTTTAGTATGTATCATTTGTGAGATTGGTGAATATTATTCTTAAAGATTTATTATGTAGGTTATCCAAGGTGTCAGTACCCAGCTGTAGATGTGTATAAGGGCTACGGTGATTGGTCCCAAAGAACTGGTACGGTTGGTTACCTGTCTTGGTGTGTTGGCTGCACAATAGCTTGGCCTACATAAGCTAGCCATTCAGCTGCCTTTGAATTGCAGTGGTATTCTAATAAAATTGCTCAGTTGTGAAGCACATACCCGAGATATTGTAGCAGTTCCATTCAACTTCATGGCATCTCTGGTATCTTTAAGATAAACTTGTGTTTATATTAAATATTAAAAGCCTGCATTCATGTTCTGCAATAATTGATGGTGATCTTTTATTCCTTTTTTTTAAATTCCTGCTTTATTTGTAATCTGACTCCAATGCAGGCTTACTTTGATCCATTGTATTAGATTCTTCCTAAATTGAAATCTGCTACATTCTTGGTGTCTACTTGATTACTGGAGAAGTTGTTTAACTGATTTTCACTTGTGGCAATCTGGCAGCAATTAAATATTACTAATGTGCATGTAACATGCATTATATTTCGGTATGTCAGCTTGTTTTAGCTTGCTTTTAGACACTAGTTCAATGGCTGGTCTGGGTCATGTGTCCAAATTTCACTGTAGTTTACACTCTACCAATACCAGACTGGGTTAGATTTTTACTAGCTGTGCCTCTTTGTGCTTGGTTCTTATCATCTTTCTTGAAAGACTCAGGTTTGGACTCTGGACGAGGTGGAAATGGCTACGCTAATGGCACTCATGATGACCGTGACAGTCGCATGAATGGATATGCAAGTAGAGGATCCGGCCGCACTGACAAAGGTAAATGTTGTCAGGTGTATCTTCCAATTTAGACTGCTGCGGTCAGTCCAAATCTTCACATCTTGCTCCCCCACCCCACTGTCAGTGAAAACCAACATAAAGGCTATGGGGGGGGGGGGGGTTAGGGACACGACCCCTCTAATGAAGCTTACAAAATGTGGGCTTAACAAATTTGTAGGTTTGCCCAAAGTTCCCCATTTTCAATAGATAAGTTTGTATGTTGTGCGCACAAGCAGATTTGTTTAGTTTTTGCTGTTCACTCACAACTTTTGTTCACCATTACATTTTTTTTTTCCCTTTGATCTGTGTAACATAGAGCAATACATGATAAGCTAGTTTTTATTAGGACATTAAGCAGTTTGTAATAGTTTTGACTATTATGCCATATAACTTTATAGTAAAAAGTGTATTCTAGAATTCATACCTCAAAATTGTGTCCCGAGTTTAGTTTAGAAAGCAGGTACTTTGCCCTTTATAAGCCACATTTTTACAGTGAAGAAAAGCATAAAAGTACCTCCTAAAGTAAACCTGTGTTTAGAGAGGTATGTATGCTACTGATACTGCTATTCCTTAAATTTTGTCATATTGTCCTGGATTCGAGATTTCTCTAACCCAGAACAAGTATGCAGATCAGGAAAGCTGGATAGAAGCTTGTAGTCCTTCCCAGCCAACTTGTTCTGAAACAGCGACTCAAGGATTGAATCTGATTCTCACGGCTTACTTTAAAGCGGTTGTTCTCAACCTGTTACCTCGGGACCCACATTTGACCTGTCATTAAGTCATGACCCAAGTCGCACTGGCATGCAAGGCATTGAGGTACCCCACATTCCAGTGTGAGATCGAACTTTGGACAGGAGGTGCATTTGGAGTGCCATTAAAATGGCATTGCAATGCACCTTCTGCACCAGAACACACAATGGGTGCAGTTGTGTGGTAGTGTTAATTACATGGGACTGTCAGTGTTTTTGAGGGGCTCAATTGTAGACATATTTTTTTATTTTTAAATCCACCCAGTATCTTACGAGAACTGAAGTCGATCCCCCACATGGGCTTCTGTGATATGACTCATGTGTTTTGCTTGTGCAGCTTTCTTGCGCGCCCTGTAGAGGTGCCAGGAGCCAGAATGTGATGGGCACTCCAGTCCATGCGCCGCTACAAGGGAGCTGTAAGCAATGAAAGTATGGATGGAGCTCCCTTGCAGCCATACCCCCACCCCACCTAAGGCTGCCATTCTGCACCAGGCAGCATATTTTGAATGGCTGTTTGGTGAGAACTGACAGTACTGCGCTAGGGTGAGGCTGGGGATCCTCACCTAACACAGTGGAAGGCACTCGGCGACACACAACACAGGGTTGCGGCCCACCAGCTGAGAACCACAGCTTTAAAACATACATGTGCCATTTTAATATGAACACCCCATTCCATGCCTGCAGAGCATAATCACATTTTCTTTGCTCTTCTGGGAGCAAAGGAAAGACTTGGATAAGCTCCTCAAAGTTGATTTAGTTGAAGCCTAATGTGTGTTCTCCATATCCCAAGATACCATGCTGCTTTTTTGCTTTAAGAAGTGAAACAAAGGAGCAGGTAGACTAAAAGGGAAAAGGGTGTGGCTCTGTGGACGGTGCATAGTTTTGATTAAAGCATATTTAAACTGAAGCAAATGGGTAATATTGCAGCTAACCAGTTCATGTGGAGGCTGCTTTTTTACACCTTTCCTATTGACAATCCTAGCTTTGCTAAATCTATGCAGGAGTACAATTTTCACTCTAGGCTATTTTGTTTTGAGCTACAAACACCTCCCCAACTTATTCTAGATCTAGTAGTTGTGAAAACGTAACATTGTGTTCTCAAACAATAGTAATTGATGAGGAAGGCTGTCTATTGGGTTGGGTATAATCTTGAGACACTAGATCCTCATCTGACCCTGCCTCTTCACATGCTCTTGTATTTGTAGGCTCATTTTTAGTTTTTTGCGCTTACAAGAAAATGGGGAATAGTTTTCTTCTGGACGTGCTCTAACAAATGTGTCCTTTTTTAGGATTTTATGATAGAGAGAATACTGGATGGAATTCAAGAGACAAAGATGCCTACAGCAGCTTTGGATCACGCAGTGACCAAGGAAAAGCAGGTTTATTTAATGATCGAGGAAGTGGGAATCGGAGGTGAGTTTGGACTGCACATTATTTCATTGATAAATATGCATGGCTTTAAATTCTTATCAGTGTTAGGAACTGGCTACAGGTGGGTCTGCATATTTTTTGTAGAAAACCTTAATCTGGTTGCTAATGGCATCATATCCACTAATCAGTTTTGACATATTTACTACATCCCTTGTATACACAAACCCTATTTTTTTTTTTTTTTTTCCCCATTGGTTCCCTCACTAGTATCTTGGCACTGAATGAAGAATTCTGCCAAAAGTAGGATATCATCGTGTTCAAATGACACAAGCAAATTCTACTAAATGATTGGATAAATACATTGCTTGTTTTCATAGCTGTGCAGTGCCATTAGATAATTCCTTGATCTGATGGCTTATTGAGAGTAGCTGTTCATTGGCTGACAAGTTCCTGTCTAGACTGGCCAACTGTCGTGCTAGAATGAAAAGCAACAGCTTTGGTTTCTCAGCTTTCTAGTGCTGAAACTTTGCATTGTTTCCTGAGCACTTTGACTGATTCTGTATCATCCTGACAACATCAAAACGTAATTTTGCATTTACAAATGCTTGTTTTTGTTACTCCAAAAATGTGTTGCCTTTATCTAATGTACTAGTTTTTAAGATTTTAGGAGGGTGTTATTAATCAAATGGCTATTAAACATTGTGTTTTGTGCACACGTTTAGTGTGATCCTTTTCCACTCCCAATAATCCTGAGGGGGTAGTCCTGTGTGCTGTTCTCACACCTTGGCAGCCAGGGCCTAAACTGGTAAAGGACATTATGCACTTCAGGTAAGCTTTCAGTACACCCCAGAACTTTGGCCGGCAGTGTATGAAGAGCTACCAACTTTCTTCCAGGTTTTTATTCTTTCCTTCCCAGCTAATTAAAACTGCTTTATTCTCGTCTTGATACCATAAGTTTTTTGAAAATCTATCCCTTCCTCAAGTATGCATGTAGCAGGTTTTTGCTCCACATAACTTATTCTCAGCAGCTCCCATTGATTTTTACCTGCTGCAACACCCGCAGGTAAAACGTTGTCTAATTACATGTCTTGACTCCTGGTATTTTGTCACTTTAGTGTCAGTGAGTTATTAATCAGTGGTGAAAGGGTCCCAGTTTTAAAGATGTTCTAGCTTCTTCCTTGGCTCCGAATCAGGGATTAAATGTTTTATCTTGCAGAATTGGAGCCAACAATCCTCAGAACATTTTTACTCCTGGAGAAGTTTCTTTTTTCTCTAGTCACCTTCCAGGACAGCATTAGAGAGATAGGCTCCTCCCACCGGAACAGGAAACACATCACCCACACTTAGAATAAAAAGGAGCACAAGCCTAGCACGCTTCAGTTATTTTGTTTCCTCCGGCCGAGCAGGACATCGTAATGTTTGTTGTTTTCCTTAGGCCTTCGTGCTGGTGAGCAGGGGCTTCCCCCCGACAGGGGTACAGCAGAGGGTCAGTGGACCCGGGGTACCCAGGAAGGGGGGCTTCCTGGACAGCCCCAACTGTCCGAAAGAAAATGCCTGTGGTTTACCTGCACAAGCGTGTGCAGGGCAACTTGACCTGTTGGTGTAGTGGACTCAGGGGAGTTCCCCCGGGCGAAAAACCTCTGCTTCAAAATGGTGTGCTTTTTCTTACCTGCAACGGTGGGGTCTTTCGGGGATCCTGGCTCCGGTCCGCAGGACTGGGGCGCGGCGTCCTCGTGTGGCATGGGGGAGGCATTTCCCGGCGTACGAATGTGGGCGGAAATGTCGTAAGTAACGAACTTCCGGCGGTGTCCGCAGCGCGTCTGACGTCACTTCCGGTGCGCGGAGACATACGAGCAGACACTGCCAGGCTGCGGCAACCATTCGGTCCACGCTACAGATGGCCAGCACATCTGAAGCAGGGGGTCGCAAGGGCCTTGCGGTGCCCACACACGCAAGGGGGGGCACCAATAGTGGGTCGAAAGAGCTGGAGTCGAAGGGGCCAGGGGGCCCAGCTGGAGACTCAACTACCACAATGGCATCATTTGATCTGGGGGATCCTGGTGCCGGCAGCTCTAAGGTAAGAGAGGGGAGTTCGCCATTTCCTTTACCGGTTATTAGTGTTTGGGGGCATGAGAAATCATTTTTTGTGGAAATGTCTTTGGTTCTTAGGGCAGCCGTGACTATCAGTATATGCGCATACATTCATTATTGGTGTTTCTAATGCTGTCCTGGAAGGTTCCTAGAAACAGTTACCAGGTACGTAACTCCAATTTTTTTTCATATGACCTTCATTTGGAGGAAATGCAAACTGTTTGTTCTGTGCTTAGATCTGATGACCGTCGCATGGATAGCTTTGATGGCGTAGCTGGTCGTAGTGACAGATCTGCCATTGGTAGATATGATCGTGGAAACAGCCGCTGGAACGACGAACGGAACGAAGAAGATGATTGGTCAAAGCCTCTAGCACCAAACGATCGTGTAGAGCAGTGAGTAATTAGGCGTTTTCAGAAGTGTTTGTTTTTTTGTTTGGTCTATTTTACAAATAATTTTCTCTTTTCAGGGAGCTTTTCTCTGGGGGCAATACAGGCATTAACTTTGAGAAGTATGATGATATTCCAGTTGAAGCGACAGGCTCAAATTGCCCTCCACATATTGAAATTGTATGTAAAAGTCATATATTGTATTGCTGCAGTCACCATAGCTGTGTGCTCCATAACTTTCATGAAGTCTGTTTTTAGTTGCTGTACAATTAGAATTTTTTTTTTCCCCCTCAAGTTCCATGATGTCAACATGGGAGAAATAATCATGGGAAATATTGCACTCACTCGTTACACTCGACCAACCCCAGTCCAGAAGCATGCCATTCCCATCATCATAGGAAAGAGGGACTTGATGGCATGTGCTCAGACAGGTATAATTTGAATAATTCCCCTAATTTCTGGCCATGTATTGGTGATGGAGAAATCTCCCAAATGTAATTGACTTCACAAAATGGAATGGTTGGAGTTTCTTTTTAAAACTGACACATGCAAGCCTAGGGCTTTTTTTCTTGATTAGTAATCTCAATTTCTTCTGATTTTAGGCTCTGGAAAAACTGCAGCATTTTTACTACCCATTCTCAGTCAGATCTATGCAGATGGTCCTGGAGAAGCAGTGATGCACCAAAAGGTATGGGACTGATGTACTTTATTTGCCATCCTAAATAAGTCCTTTCCTAAAGACGTTTTTCAGACTTCATCCATATAGATATTAGTTGCTGTCTTTTTAAGCATAGTAACTTTTGTTTGTAGGATAACGGACGATATGGAAGGCGTAAACAGTTTCCACTATCCCTTGTTCTGGCTCCAACAAGAGAACTCGCAGTACAGATTTATGAGGAGGCCAGAAAGGTATACACAATTTTAAAAACTTTGCTGATGGGCTTTTTTTTTTTTTTGCATAAAAAAAATATATGCATTTTGTTTTCTCCCTCTTCTAGTTTGCCTACAGATCCAAGGTGCGTCCTTGTGTTGTATATGGGGGAGCAGATATTGGGCAACAGATCAGAGACTTGGAGCGAGGCTGTCATTTGCTTGTTGCCACTCCTGGGCGCCTTGTTGACATGATGGAACGAGGAAAGATTGGCCTGGATTATTGCAAGTATGTTGGACTTCTAGATTTTTCAATGAGCCATTTCCTAATAGTTAAGGCTTTTAGTAAAATTTCTAAAAAAAGTACCAATATGATCTAAAAGCGTCTTGAATACTGAGCAACTTCGATGTTTACACATTTTTTTTTTCTTTTTAGGTATTTGGTGTTGGATGAGGCTGACAGGATGCTTGATATGGGGTTTGAGCCCCAAATTCGACGAATTGTTGAACAAGACACAATGCCTCCCAAAGGTGTCCGTCAAACTATGATGTTCAGTGCCACTTTCCCCAAGGAAATCCAGGTATGTGCAAAACAATATTTAAAGTGCATTTCTACTTTTGCTGTCAAATTTGAGAAACCCCTGTTTTTTGTTCCCATTCATGCAGCATGCAATCCT